GGCGAGCCTCGCGTTTTAAATTTGAAAATTTAACTGTCTCGAGTGAATAAATATCGTATCACACTCGATGCAGTGGTAGAATCTATATTTATTATATACTTACTTAGTAGTAGTAAATACAGATAAATTGTATGTGTAATACAATCATTGGCAAGCGTGCTGTATCAGCCACCTGTGATGATATCGATATCAGCACGGTTGCAGAGGCTTTATCGCACCTTTAAACTGTATGATGTCACGTCATCGATTGCAGTTACTGTTGCAAAGGCTTTATCAAACCCCTAATCTGTATGACGTCATGTCAAACCTATAATCTGTATGACGTCATTTCAAACCTCCTTATCAGTATGACGTCATGTCACATAAAAATAAACATTTACGTGGGGTATATGTATATAATAAAGTGTATATGATATGGATTTTTCAATATCACACATCGTATCAACCCTCAACCAATATAATCCCTCGAGCAGAGCTTGTTATGGTAGATGGGTGGGTCGAAATGACCAGGCGGAAAGAAAGGAGAATGTTTTTATTGTTAATGAATTCCTATATTTCTGTTGTATATTTGTCATTTGTGCACTTTCGAAAAATGAAATATTGTTTAAACTTAATGAACCAGACTAGACTATCCGGAAGGCAAGCGTCGAATGACACACAAAAAAATCCTTGATTTACCGTTAGACGTTAGTCACATGATCAATGTTAAAACAGTAGCCCAAAACAAATACACGTGTTCATTATAACATTTATATATTAATACATTTTTAAGGAGAATACAATATCATTTGTGATATTACCATAAAATATGTTTATTCTAATGAAGACAGCACAGAAATGTTCAATTTTTACATGTGCTTACGTGTTGCGGTCAAGTAGATCTGTCACTCTAGATACAGATTTTGGAAAGATGTTTATTTCAATGATCAGAAAAGGAGGAGCAGATATAACGGACATTCAAAAACCACAAGTCAAAGAATTACAAACTACACCATTGATAAAAAAAAGAGACGAATAGATAAATCAGTTCTCAAAACAATACACAGAAAACTATTGACCAAGCAACAGAAAAACCATCAGAAAAAGAACATGTTTACCAATTAAGATAGGAAAGCAAACTGTTAGATTACATGTTCTCACGTTTGTATGTAAGTAAGCAATTTGCTTTTTCAGATTTTAGAAAGATTTCGGCTGTTGTCTGCTCTATGGTCGGGTTGTTGTCTCTTTGACACATTCCCCATTTCCATTCTCAATTTTATTCATTTTAATAATGACTAAAGGGGGGAAATATATCAGGAGGCAATCACAAATAGTAACTCGAAGAAATACACACACCATTAGTGCGTAACCAATAGAGACAGAGAAACAAATTTCCAAACATAATTGATTGTTGATAGCTTAAAGTCCAGTGACAAATATTTCATTCAGGACGAGAACAAATTGACAATAAATACAATAGGTATGTCATGTAATTGGGGCCAACAGGGATAAAGGGCGGGAAATGTGGACTGCCACTGGAAAGTGAGGGTATATTGAATAGGACGAGGTTGCGTACAACCGGACAACTAAACGGACGCCCCACTTTGACAAGAATTTAACTGCCGGTAGGAAGAAGATAAAAAATGACCATATTTCTATTCCCCAGTCACCTTTATACAGAAAACTAAAAAAAATATTATTCAAAACAAACCCTTACTTCCGGAGATGTAAGCGGTTACAGCTCCACTAGGTACTAAAATATATCTGGTGATAAGTCACATTCTGTGATAGCTCATAAACCGAGAAAGAAGGACAGGGTCGTTGGTACGACAAATCATCATATCCATTGTCATTATTGTACATAATATGCCGTATACAGTCAACCAAATCATGACACCCGTAAAAAAAAGCGGAGTATGCCGAAAGGAGATTCAAAACTCATAAGCCGAATAGAGACCGACAAAGTAAAAAAGATCCAAAATATGACTGAATTTTCATCATTAAGAACCATTGGTTTAGCATAATTCATTTATGACTGCACGTGCTCTTCATGACAACGTTACATAAATGTTGCATTTTTATCGGGAAATTAAATATAATTTTAGGATGCCTCGTGTTTGTTGTCTGCCAATCAAAATAAAGGAATCTTATGAAACAAACATGTAATGTAGTTTCTTGTAAAGGGATAAGTCAATAACACCACACTATTTAAACAGGGAAGGCTTAAGGTATTGGTTGACTGAAATTATAATTATCGATTTCGACAAATATTTATATAAAATCTATGCATATTTAAAATCATAATTCCATATAGCTATAGATACTTGATATCGACAGATGGCAAATGGAATGTTAGAATGACATTTTATTGTAGGTGTACTCTATTGCTTATCTATCATCTGTAATCCGATTCTGTTTACATTACCAATTGTGCTGTTTTTAAGCATAAATCGAGAAACTTAATCAATGGTTTTAAACTTCTAATGGAATAGTATCACATAACGATCTAAATATACGTAAAAATGTCAGACTGGTTGTTATTCAGATATTTTCTTTCCGCAAAATAGAATTTTGTTTTCTGGTCGAATCCAGAAACTAAATTGAACTTAATGTAGTCAACATTAGGTATCAATATTACCTTGGATATGACGTTGGTACATTTTAATGGTTTTTGTAATTTCAATATGTATAATAAAGTTTCCAAAATCTTTGTCTCAAGTATTCTTTCTTAAGATCTTTGGTACAGATAAAAGGACATTTTCTATTCAGTATCAATGATTTTGGTTAAAGTTAAACATTTTCTAAATGTATAAAAGTATGTCGTGTCTAAAACTTGCAATAGGTATGAGACTTTTCTTATGTGAAACGTTTAACTTGAGATCAGAAAAAATCACTTTATATTGAAGAATAACAAAATTATGAACAGATAAAAAAATTTCATTAACATTTACAGAACTATTTCGTATGTATATTCCACACCCGTGACGTCATGAAAAAGGTTTCACATGAATTTACGTTTTGGTTGCACATAAATTATGCTCATTAATGAAATGAGTATTTATCAATGAAAAGCATGCACTTGATGAATTAAGTGCGTCCAGAGGTCTTTTTTAGATTTACCTTCATCACAAAAGCCCAAACCCAAAAATGTGAATGCCAGGTATGTATAATTACTTCAATATTTGAGGAGCTACACAGTGTATGACCAAGTGTATCGCCAAACTCATTTACGGTCAACTTTGCTTGAAAGATTTTGAACCTATTTTTTTGTGATAATCTTTTTAACCAACGGTGAATCTAAGGAAGTATGTAAAAATATATAATAAATCATGATGGTACCCTCGAGGACTAGCAGTCCATCAGCAGCGGTGACATGCAACAATGGAATAATATTGTTTTATTAAAGGAAAGTATGTCAACTTTTTCCGCCATGATTTTAGATAACTGAAAAGATTATGTTGTCTGACATAGTTTGTTTATTTTATTCCAACCATATATCTTTTCTATATATATTCATTAGCAAAGTTTCCTTCAGCTTCTAGTCGAATAGTAACCAACACAGACATACGCAGATTTGTACTGTATTACTGTTAAACAGTCTATTCTGCTTTAAGAGACGGTTGGGAATTACTTCCGAATTAGGAGGTAAGATCAATATATAAAGTTTCATCACATCGCTAAGTCGTTTGCGATTTAGGGTTTCTTTTTGTTGACTATTTCGTCTTTAGGCTTTAAGTTTTCTTGTAAGTTTCCCAGAAAATCAGAGGTATCGTTATTTTAACATGTTGTGGGAAATCGGAGCAAGTGGTTGATGAAAAATACATAATTTGTGTATGTCGCAATGTTTCTTAAAGTATGAATTTGTTATTCTTTTATTGTATTTATAACTAGACTGGGAAAATACCTACCCAGACACAAAAATAAAAATTTGAAAATTTATTATCTTATTTATTAGAAAATTTTGTAATAACTAAAGGTAAAAAGGACTGAAAGGTATAAAACTTTGATGGTGAAAATTAACCCTTTTGCTGTAATCCTTGGGTTCAAAATGTTAACTTGTTTAAGTTTAAATTATCTATTACATTAGAATATTCTGCCGGGTTGGGAGTCTACCAAAGGGCCTAGGCTATTGAGTCAATTTTGATGGTGGTTCAAATCCCGGTTTGGTCTTCAAATAATGAAGTGAACTCGATCTAATCATAATATAATGTAACAGTTTATTTTCAACTAAATGTGGCCGAGAGCAAATGCCTTATATTCTTAGGTGTTGGCCAATCAGTAAACAATTAAATCAACCATCAAGTTATATATTACTATTATCAAATATTTCATAAAACAATGTACAATATTAGTTGTTTCTCCATTCCAAAGCGCTTCAGAAAAATGAACAAAACTCTAACACAGCAAACAAGCCAAAAGAGTGCAAAATATTTTGTGGGCAGCATGTTTGGAAATTTTTATGTTCGTCAATCAGAATATACGTTATATAACATAATAACTAGTCGGGGTCCAATCTTTTCGCTCAGCAGACGTCTGATTTCAATTTAAATTATTTAGATTTGCGAGCATAATATGGAATGAAAATGATGAGCTGTTTCAGAAAAAGCAAAACGATGAAAAATATGTTGCAACAATCGTGCGTCATTATGAATAAAATACATAGGTTTCACAATTTGCAGCTTATTGTTTGAAGTATTAAACAAATGATGTATTAGTTACATATGAATAATTCATTATACAGACGTTCGTGCGATTTAGTATCAATCAAATGTTTTAAAATTGCACTTTGATTTATCGAGAAGTACGGTTCAGGAACTAATATATTTTGTTGAAAATAAAATAGATATATATTTGTCTTTTCACAGTTAGGGAAAGGTTTGTTTCAGTGCAGTATCTGTTTGCTTCTGCGCAGTAAAATGACTGCTTCAGTGACGTAAATGTCTGTTTCTGCACAGTAAATGCTTGCTTCATACCAGTAAATGTTTGCTTCTGCGCAGTAAAATATTTGCTTCAGCGCAGTAAATGTCTGATTCTCCGCAGTAAAACATTTGCTTCAGCGCAAGTTATGTCTGCTTCAGCGCAGTAAAATGTCTACTTAAGTGTACTAAAATGTCTGCTTTAACGCAGTAAAATGTCTTCTTCCGTGCAATACAAATTATTTGCAACAACGCTCAACAAAATAGACGATTACTATTTTTTAATTCTACCATATGTGTCATTTTGGGGTTTACAACATTATGGTTTATAATAGCAATACAAACTTTAATTCGATAACAAATTTGAATTTACTTAAATGGTCATACATATACAAGTGCCATAAACAGATTGTATATTTCATATGCGAATGTTAACAATAATACCATCATATAATAATTGATATGCGGTAAATAATTGCATTGTTGCAGTACTTCATTTTTTCAATATAAATATTATATGGGCAATAAATATTAACTTAAAAATTTCTCACAGCTGGTATGGCTGATGACAGCTTCACTTGAAAAGATTACATTACATTATCTTATTGATTATCGGTTTCGGAGTATTACTTAACTGTAAACAACGTTCATGTCAGTTATGAAATGAACATGATCAAGTAAACACAACTGTAATTAATAGTGATTTTTCTAACAGTAGGATGGAAATTTTGAATAGTATGCAGATGGTAAGTCCTTATTTATGGTCCGAAATGAGGTTACTTCAGTAACTTTATTTTGATTAAAAATGTAGATAATTTTTCTCAAGTTTTTAATTTTTCCTTTGTTTGAGTGTTAATTGTTTTTATCTATTTATCAAATATGTTACACAAGCTGTTGTTTTATATTATAACAGTCACTTTCCTTACATAATTCTTTATGAAAATAACGCTTTATATATTTGGTGCGTCCGAGGCGCTTTTCTGGATTTACCTTCACCAGGAAAAGCCCTAGCCCAAAACTTTGAAAACCAAGGGTGTATACATGTAAGTACTTGGATACGTCAGGAGATGATTATCACTTTATTAGGTTTTGTTTAAATATTTATAGACAGAAGACTAGAAATGTAGAGGCCATATTCTATACCAAAATCAAAACTTTTGTTGAATATCGGGAGTCTAATTTGGTCCAAAACAACTTTGAGTTGTTCCTAATTACAATGTGCATAAAAGTGTAAGAAAAAGAAACTTTTATGATTTCTTTAAGGTGATAATAAATTTTCCATTATTTCCTTATTGTAAAATTTTACTAATTTTTGTATGGATAGTTGTATGCATTATAGTTATTTTTCGCACTACTACTTGTCTTATTTAAATTTGGTTTTGTAGATCTTTAATTTGGTAAAGGACAAAATTAGAGAAATACAACTTTATATAACCTTTGAACAAGGTATTATTTCCAAAAACAAACCGCAAAGCGCTAATTATATCTCAATAAATGAATTCTTTCAGTGCCTAATGACAATGTTAAGACAATGTAAATTACTATTTTACGTTTTTATTCAAATTTGGTGGTTTTAGCAGAGGAAGGTTTTATTTCCATGGCAATATTTATTCAAATGAGAAACGCAAGGATGTGAATTAGAAATAAATCTAGTTGTATTTTGTATGTTGTATTTAAAGTAAACTCTGGTGTCCATTTTAAATAAATGTCTGTTATAGAACTTCTTTCCGTGAAATTTGTTATGGTTTGCTGCTTTCGTAAGAAAGTAATTGCTTTTAGTTTCTTTACAATGTGAGGGACTCTATAATTGACGAGTTTATCTTTTCTCGGAGAACGGGGGTCGAAAACTATAAACCAAACGAATGCTTTTTGTTTGACTTTTGTAGTGAATATAGTACTGCATCACGTATAATTTTCTTTACGGTTTTTTTTCTTCTTACAAATATGTAAATTGACATTATTCATGACATTCTATAATACTTCTGGCTTCTTATTGTTTGTTTTAAATCTCTTTACTCGCCACTGTACGTAATAGAAAATATTGTTGGTTTAATGAAACCCTTTCTAACGATTTCATGATGAAAAAGAGAAAGAATATGGTGTAATAAAGTATAAACTTCTAATACATGTATATCTCTATACCATTGTACTTCGGGTTACCAGAATAAATAAACTAATCATAGATACCAGGAGTAACATAATGACTCCAGAAGCGCGTTTCTTCTACAAAAGACTCATCAGTGACGCTTTAATCAAATAAAGTTTTAAAAGGCCAAATAAAGTACAACATTATAGAACATGGATCATTAAAGCTATACATATAATGTTGACTAGAAACTAGATCTGTAAAATACATGTTAAAATAAAGTTTAGAACACAGCTTGAAGCGTGTTGTACATTTCAGCCGTTACAGTTATTGTTTGGCACACTCATGTACATCAGACAGATTTAAAAGATAAAACCAAACGCACTTGCTTATAGCAACGAGTTATTATATGATTACATTACATGTATGTTTCAGTAGAATCCGTAAATTTGACAACAATCGACAGACACTCCAATATCATATGTTTTTTCCGTATAAAATACAACAGCTATGACTGCATGTGCTATCTGTGACAATATTAAAAGAATGCATAGAAGAAGAAAAACGGAAATCTTGATACAGGTCTTAATTTCATGGTTGACGCATTAAAAAGAAGTGAATGCTTCTTTTCATAATTCTATTGGCTTGTAAAAGCGTTGATCTTGCGCTTCAACGCTTCATACAAAATGTGATTCGGCCAACGCTTTTACACCCCTTTAAAATTATATAAAGAAGTAGTCAAATCTTAACATCATTCATCTATATGAAGTTATTTTTTTTTAGAAATTAAAAAAAGACATATGCTTTTTTATGGCATAATTGATTAATGAAATTAACATTTTATAATGTTTATGTGTCCGAAGCTCTTTTCCGAATTTACCTACATCAGGAAAGGTCAAACCTTAACTTTTAAAGCCAGTGATGGTAAAAATACGTAGTCAGGGTAGAAGCTATATGACCAAAAAAGACCTAAAAAGAAAAGCAACATTTTCGATTGTTTCATGGAAAATGAAACCGAATTGCAGTTTCATGTAATGTTTGCAGTATGCGCTCTGACCATTTTTTTGTATAAATCAGCTGAGTTTGGTAACTTATCATTTAGGCCGACTCAATTCTGTTAAATCTCAGAGTCAAAGATGGAGCAAAAACTCAAACCGATCAACAACAAGGAGGGACTTTCGACGTTAGTTTTTGTGTATATTCTAAAATTTATCAACTAAGAATTTATCCATGTTACAAACAATATTAACAAACTGTGACTGTCTGTATTTTCTAGCTGTTGTTGTGTCTTTAATACGTATTTATGGTGTTGGAAAATAACTTTGTATCAATTTCCTTGCAGGTGATATAAAGACAGGTGCTTGTTGATAGAAATGAGCAAAATTCGATAAATTAATTACCAATAGGTGTTTAATAAACATTTATTTGTCTACTGCTGGTGTCATCTGGTAATTTGAAACAAACAACGAAATTGATTTCTTCCAGTTTGAATAGTTCTGTTTATGGCGTATTGTAACCTGCTTTTGATATGTCAGCTGTAATAAAATTTTATACATAAACCATTTTATAATAATGGTTGAAGTGGATCAACGGAACAGAGTCGTATTTCTTGGCGCTGGTGGAGTGGGTAAAAGTTCAGTGTTACAGAGATTTTTGTTTGGAACTTTCAGCGAAAAGTACAAAGAAACAGTTGAAGATTTGTTTCCTAACGAATATGATATTAATAGTATTAATTTCAAAGTTGATTTTCTAGATACTGCCGGCAATATTGCTTTCCCAGCAATGCGGCGCCTCTCAATTGTAAACGCTCACGGCTTTGTGTTAGTTTATTCTATCACAAATGAACAAACATTTGAAGAAGTCAAACAATTATGGGAGCAAATTAAGGAAGTGCGAGAAAATTATCAGGAAATTCCGTGTGTAATTGTTGGAAATCATTTAGATGAGGAAAATAATAGACAAATTGAAAGATTTGATGCTCTTAACTGGGCATACAATGAGGACTTAGGTGGAGGGTTTATTGAAGTGTCTGCCAAAAATGACGTCGGAATAGCTGATGTTTTCCGTCTGTTGTTACAACAAGTTAAAAAGCCACGTGTCAAACACCCTGATCGCTTTTTGCTCCGAAGAATCAGTGTGCAGTCACTGGAATGTCCGGAGACGGGTAAAACAAACCCAGAAGAGTTCAGTGCAGCGGAAAAATCTAAGTTTTCACGATGTAGTCGAAGTTTAATTCGAAGATCAAGTAAACCTAAAATGAAACGTTCGACGAAACAAAACGATGATTGTTCTATTTCTTAGCTTTTGTACGTCTGTTTAAAAAAAAAATGTATATATCAAATTAAAATACAGATATTGGCTACCAAATGTGCTTAAAACTTTTAAAAGGACTATATTATGCAATGTGATAATTTTGTATAACAACAGAAGAAAATCGAATAAACGGTACTTGTCCTTGAAATGGTTATCAATCATATAGGCTTGCTCAGTGTTTAATATTATATAATTTATATAGTATTGATGTGGGGTATCTAGTCATGTCCTTTTTTTATTATGAAAAACTATAAATTTATTATCGGTATGGATTATGTATAGTGTTCAGTGCATGTATGTAATGTTGATGTGACAGTCATTGCGTAACACGTCTTTTTAAACTAAATCATAAAACTTTGTTTAAGATGGGACTATTTCAACTTTTGTTAAATATTATTTCACATTTTTTCAGTTGAATTTAACTTTTTTGTCGAGTTCAAATCAATATTCATGCATATATTAAAGATGATGTCAGGAAACAATCAAGCCAACAACGCTAGGTCAGTTGAGGAAAACTACAAAATCTTGTTAAATATATTTCAAATAAGACATTTATTTTTGTAGTCAAGAAAATATTTATAATAACAGCAAATAATAGTTTTCGCATTTGAATTTAGTTTTCATATAGATCTAAACGAAATTGATTTTAAGGTAAAGTACAAAAAGCCATCGAACATTGAGGGTGCTATTGTGTATACAGGTGTGTACAATATGCGTACTTAGTACAGGTGTGTGTATACGTAATCAATTATTTTGTTATACGTTTGTATGTTTGACTGTGATAAACTGTAGCTATTCATAATTTAATAAAAACAGTTTGTCAAATTGTGTAATTCCTATTCTCCTTTTTTCCAGATCGACCTGAACATGTGTAAATTTATTTGCCATTGGACGTTAAACAACCAACAATCAATCATTCAATCCGTTATCCATTATTTTACATAAAACCCATAATATCATTATAATTTTTGAGGAGGCGATTTTTTTGAATTTTTAGTAAGAGTGGCTATCGTATTTTTATTTAACTGCAAACATGAATTATCATGCAATTAAAAAAGAGGAGCCAAAAATACCAAAGGGATGATAAATCAAAAACAAACTGACAATGCCATGGCAAAAAACGAAAAATAACGAAAAAACAAACAACAGTACACAACACACAACATAGAAAACTAAAGACTGAGCAACACGAACCCCATCAAATCTCGTGTGCTTCGGAATGGTAAGCAGAGCCTGCCCGTCATGTGGCACTCATCGAGTTGCTCATGTAAGTACAAACCCGGTGATAAGCCTTAGTCATTCGAGGAAAAGAGGACGGCATTATGGTTACGACAATTGGAACATATCCGTCGTCATCTGTGATAAAAATATTCCATAACGGTCAACCAACTCGTAATTACGTCCGTAAAATGGTCGAAAGGAATGATCTCAACTTTACCATTTGGAACTCTTGAGGCGAATGACCAACTAAACAATATATACGACAAGTCATCAATTAAACCATGCTTAGCGTGAAAGTAGATTGATGATGTAGGAATATATTTGTAACATTTTTTAGACTTTTTATCTAAAAACATGCGTTCACGTGCATAATTTACATTAATTGACGAGAATTAGATTACAAGTCAATACAACAAAAAACAAGTAGATTCTAAAAGAAATTATGATACATGTACGACATTGCTTGAGAGTAAACCGAAGATAGACGCAAAAATATTTCAATTTTCTTTATTTTGGCGATTATACATGATAATTCGTCGTTAAAATCATATGAACGCGTTTAACTTTACGCAATTTCAGTGATAATCGTTACATTAAGGCCATCTTTTGACACGACATTCTTATTATTATTGTTTTGTACGCGAAATGCTCTAAGTGTCTAAGGGGCATCAGCTGTCACCGATTTGACCCAAATTCTCGTATTTTATTTACAACGTACTTAAACGTATATCCAAATTACAAAAAGTCCAAAAGAAACAATTCAACATGCATGGGCTCGCTTTATGATGTATCAGAATTTCCTGAGTATTTTAGACTAGACGCCATCAATTATCTAACGAGATCACCTCTGAAGACACGAACACGCAATCGGTTTTTTTTCTAGGTCTGTTTGACTTCATGTTTTAGGTTTTAAAAATATGTTAATCATCTTTTTATATGTATATGAAAGGTTTTTGTGCCCTTTCAAACAGGTATAGATTTAAACAAGAGGTTTAAGCTTACATGAATCAATTGTTTGTAAATTAATTTATCATAGATATCAGGATTCAAATTTTGTGTGTCCTTGGTAGTTGCTAGTTTTTGGATGGGAATAAAAGACGGCCCTGGCTTACAAACATTAGATTGATGATTGTCGGTTGCTTAACATCCAGTGGCAAATATTTCATGCATGTTGAGGACGAGAACAAATTAATAATAAATACAATAGGTAGGTTCTGTAATTGCCGTCAAGGATGATGGTCGGGGAAATTGAGACTGCCACTGGGAAATGAGGGTATATTGGATAGGGACAGAAATTTTGCCTTGCAACAGGCCACATACGGACTACTCATAAGAGTTGTTACAAGGGTTCTTAACGTGCAGAGAGCGTGGCACTCTCTACACGAGGCATCGGATTTAACGTCCCCATTCTGACCGGACGCGTCTACGTACTTGTACATCCAGCACAGCCAAACGGACGCCCCACTTTGGCATGGGTTTTACTCGGAAGAAGACCTGTAATGACCATATTTCTATTCTGCAGTAACCCTTGTGAGTTACAAACATTAGTGTAGGCTGGAACCTATAGTTACTTACTGCGAGTACTCTTAGATAGTACTTTGTGTGTATTTTATCTCATTTGAAATCATACCACAACTGCTTATCTTTATAACGTAAGGTCTGTTCTAAAATATGCATCGATAATCTCAATGAAATATCTCTGAAGGAACATCTGCGGAAGTAATTAATATAATTTGCAAATAAGATTGGTAGGAAATCTTCCTACAAAATCTTTCATTCTTTGCCCAACAAAAAATGTATAATTAAAACATCTTCAAACATTCAGATAATCTCATGACATCGATCATCAAGACTTATTTAGGAATTGATTAAGTTAAACAAGTTTGAGGTGTCAGTAGAAACTCGTGGTGTGCATAAGAAATTTTTAAATCACAACTAAACCTTAAATTTCAATTTATTTGAAAGTACTTTTCCACACGTTAAATGTTTGAAATGACGCAAAAGATTATATAGCTCAGTACAAAAAATATGTTTCAGGGTTATTCGAAACAAAACGTTTTTACTCTCATAATTACGTAAGCTACCTTTTAATCATTCTCGACTGATGTTATATATTATTCAAACATAAAAAGTTAATTAAATTACAAAAGACTAGTACAAAAGAGTCAATTTCAAGTCAGCCTTGGATCAACTTTTACTGCAGCAGTTACATTCTCACTTTAAATTCATATATTGATATTCATGAGCTATACAAATTCTCATAAAATAAGAGATCAAAAATCCATGGTAGGAGGAGAAAGAAACAAAACGTCGCAACAACAATGCACAGAAAACTTAAGACTGAGCTGTACGAATCACATAGAAAACGATCAGTACTTGTGTGTTTGAAAAGGGCATTTGGTAACTTTTCAATTAGTGACATCTTGTTGATTTCCGTGGATTACATGTCTTCGAAGATACATCCCAAATCTGGAAAGGCGACTACAATTAAAACATATCTGTATATATACCTGTTAAACCTGTATTCCATATAAAAATTATATGTAATAATATTTAATTAGAAGCACAGAGATTATTACTCATCAAGACTAACAATTCATCAGAAAAAGGTTCTGTTTAGTCGAATAAAATGTTTATACATAATTTTCACAGATTAAAAAATACAAGTGACCACCATCATCTGTCGTGTCCAAGGAAGTGGGATATGATTGCCAATGAGACAACTATCAAACATAATCCAAAGGAAGAGGATTTAGTAATTATAGGTCACCGTTCGTACATCGACAATGAGCAAAACCCATACCGTACAGTCAGTTATAAAAGGCGCCGACATGACAAAAGGTGAAACATATCAAACGAAAAAACCAACGACCTGGCTTATGACAAAACATTAAACGAAAAACAGATAAAACAGACAGCAACCAATGACAACCATTGAATTACAGGCTCCTGACTTGTGAAAGGTACGTATAGATATTACGAGCGCTCAACCCTTACCCTAACCTTGGACAGTGGTGTAACAGCACAACGAACACAAACTGTACAAATCAGTTGGAAATGGCTTGGATCATCAGCTAAAAATAAAATTAACATAATTAAAATGTAAAATGCACAAATTTCTGATCTAAGAGTATTCGCAGTAGCTGAAAGCTAGTTCAAAGTCAATAACAACTAATACATAAATAAATCATGTTCTACCAGACTTTAGTATCAATAAGTACAACTCCAACGGATTTAGTGTAAAGAAGTCATAAACAGTCCTAGAAAATCAAAATTTTGTGAAATTCCAAAATATAAGTACATAATATCGACAGGATGTAGGATCAGAACTTTTCATAAAATGAAAAGTTATGTTTTAATTCATCAAAAACAAATCACTGTTAGTACTGTTAAAAAACAATATTCAAAGATCTTACTATGGTGTTTAATTGATATCCTTTAAGAATATTAAGTGTATTCAAATGATCAATGAGTTTACGTGGGTCGTATCTAAATTTACGGGCTTCATTCACAACTATTGCTGGTATTAGATTTATTTAAAGGAAGTTTCCTTTGGGTAACTTTCCGCAGTATATTTAGAGAATTCTTGGTTATTTAAAACTAAAATATCATCAAGGTAGCGATACATGTTATAGATTTATTAATTAAATGGAGTTAAGATCGATCTTTACTGAGTTTGGCCATAATCTGTTATCCATAACAGTACATGAAAAAGTCGGCTGTTAAAGGGGCGCAACTGCTACTCATAGAAATACTTTCAATCTGTCGATAAACTTTATTGCCGAAACGTATATAAATAATATCAAGGAGAAAAATTACAGCTTTACTCGTCTCATCACAGTTCCAGCAAGTATATCTAATATGTTTATCTATTTCATGTCGGAAAACTTCGGTTTTATAAGATTGTATGGAAGTGTAGTGTAGAGTGTCGAAAAGTCATAACTATCAACGGAATCGGAAAGACAATCAAAAACACGCAAGTTATCATTTACATCCAAAGAGTTTACTTTGTTGGCCTTTGATGTAGAATAAACTATAATTTCATTTTTAAACAAATAACTTCATAGTCAGTTTAAGCAAGTGGTTATATATTAGTAAGTGTTAAAACTTGTCATAATTATGGCGCTGCAATAGCAAAGTTAATAGTGTATGGATTTTAATTCGTTTAGATTATACATGATGTATCCATATGCAGTTGATATTTTGAAAATCATAATCAATGCACCATAAAGAGTTCAACACTATTTTTAACCATATATTTAATCCATACACTAATGGAATTTCATTTGTATTTATAATTAAAATTATAAAAGGAATACCATCAAAGAGACAATTATATAAAAAAAATCATTTTCAAAGTCATATTTTTTTGTTGCATTGAACTAACTATTTTAAACACTAGGTGTAATCCGGATGGACAATAAATTATATAAGCATACTGTTTGAAGTCTTTTGATTGATAAAATTATAAATCGCTGTTCTACCTCGAACTAATACAACTTTATACATAATCAATTTCTCGTTAACTTATAAAATTTACTGCTTTTAACGTTGATTGAACCACCAGAGCAAGAAAAAGACTAAATGGCGAGACACAGCATGTACTTATCAC